AAATTCAAGTACAAAGAGTTGAAGTCGTGCCCTACCAAATATAAAGCTCAGAGTCTGATCCCAAGCCGTACTTGACTCTTGTGTGTTCGTACTTTAGAGTTCTGTTAATTTGCTGTGAAAGATCATTAACAAATTCACTAACTATTTTATATCAGAACAAAATCATAAACCAGTTAGAGCTACAGAGTAATTGAATTAATTAAATATTTTCTTATTTTAAATTGTTAAATTTCAATACTATTCTTTTGTAGAAGAATTATTTATTACATGATTTTATTATTGCATGAATTTTTTTTTAAAAAACAACCGCAAATCCATTTTATGGAAACAAAAGAGTGTTCCGCTCGAAAAACATAATACCTAAGAAATAGACGAAACAAAATTAGGACCGTACTCGAACAGTAAAAGGAACAAACTTAAATACTTCTACTATGTGGTTTTCTGGTCTTTTAGATCAGTTAAAATAAGTAAAAAATCAATCCCATAGAGTTGAATCCACTTTTAAGACCACTTCTAGTGATATGTTACATTCTCTCATAACGTTTATATAGAACTGAGTTACATAAACAAATATACTAAAATTTTTCAAATTATGGATCTACAGAAAAACTTTATAGATTATGAGGTGCTAAGATAACCGTTAACAGCAATAAAAATACGGAAACTACCTTATTTCGAACCCAAAGAAATAATGCATGGTCCAAAGTACATATTTCTTCAACTAATTTCAAACTAGTAACTAACAGGTACAGTCCTATGTATATAAGTTAAAAACAGTGATTAAGAATATATATTATTATATATAATTATATTTTAGTCAATTTAACTTAAATTGAAAATTGTAACTTCTTACAATGAAGTTCATGTGATCACTTACAGTTTTATATAGGATCGCATTTTACAAAAAAAGAAGTACTCTTGCTTTTTTTTTATACACAAATATATCATATGCTTTCTTCCAATAAAAAACTAATATGAAAGCAATCTCTATAAATTATTGTAAAACAATTTGAATAATATCTATAAAAACAGATATATAAAAATATTAATGAAAAACGATTTTAATAAATTTTTTAAATGCAACTGGTTGAAGCAACTACTATACAGTGATATTGTTTTTTAGGTTTATCTGGATTATATTGGTTTAAAGTAAAAATAATTATACATAATAACTATATCAACAAAAGTAGACATGTATTAGCTTTTCATAGAAATATATTTTCATATATTGCACCCATAATTAGTAACAAAACGCTATAAAGCTTACATTGTACGCTTCAAATATTTATAATTCTCATTAAGTTCATACATTAATTACTCCAAATATAATACATTCACAATGAAAAGTGTTTTCATTTTAATATAATTGTTTGCTTGTTAATTTTTCCTCTTTTATTTTTTACATTTTTAGTATCTACATTTTCATTCTTAATAAAACAAAACAAACTTAAATAAAACAAACTTATGGACAAATAGTTTGGTTCTATTAAGTACAAAACGTTAAGTTTTTAAATTACTTCGATGACTAAATAGAAAATATTTTATTTTAATTTGTAAATGATATTATGTGTTATAAACAGCAAAAATATACTTTTTCCATTGGATTATTTAGTTATTGCAAAAAGAGTAATTTTTTTCTCATTTTTGTTTTTTTTTTTATTATAAACTTTATCCATTATTATTTATCCATTATGAAAACTATTTCCTTTGTTAGAGAAAATAAGGAAGTAAGACATTAAAAGAGCATCCTCTTCATGTAATTTTGCGTTAGAACGTTTGCTTTAACATGGTATGAAATTATGGAGAGTTCTGGTTGTAAAACATAGTGGTAGTGACTCCATGAGTGAAATATAATACCCGTGTAACTGTATATATCTGTGAGGGTTTCCGAAATTTTAAGAGGTATTCTCATAAGACTAGTATTTTGCCCAATATACTTAGAATGTCTTCATAAGCCACTTTGTCTGGATTTTTTTCTTTAAGTATTTTTTCGTTTTGTCGTTATATATGGTATATAATTAATTTCCATTTATTGCAAAATTATGTAAATCCAACTTATATCAGAACTTTTTATTTTTGCATATTTGAAAATGTTTTTGTTAAATTATTAAAACTTAAATAATGATAATTTAATTTTTATTAATTAATTAATTTATTATTTATAAATTTGTTGTTAAATAGTATTAATTGGAACATTTTCTTTTATTTCTAGTCGAAAATATTTATTATCTATATTATTAAGTTTAGAATTTATTGTTTTAATAATTTATTTTTTTTGTACATAATAAAAATAAAAGATAATAAAAATTATTTTATAATAATAATATATTTAACTTTTAGAGTTTGTGAAGAATGTCTCTTCTTATTTTAGTCATGGAAAAATAATATTTTTTTTTGGCTTTTCAGTCGGCTTTTCTGACTTTTTCAATAATACGAGTATATTTTTGGAATGCTTTAAAATATTTTATTTTTTATTAGATTCTTATTAATTTTATTTAATATTTACAAAAAATATTTTATATCTATTTCTTATTATTTAGGATGTAATACTCGTAATGTCGATTTGATTTCACAATTGTAAGAACCTGCTTCATAAAGACCTTCATCATTATTGGAAAATTATATCTTAGCGCTTATTGGTTTGACTATAATATAATAATATTATATCGTTAAGATAATTATATCTTAAAGAAAGCAATTCGTTTTTTATAGTTCTAGTATTCTATAAGAGTATGGTGTTTTTTACATGATAAATATGACCGATATTTTGAAAAAAAATAAGATTTTAGTTGTCAAAAATTTCCCGAGTCACCGTCACCCTCACACGGTGATCTTTTTTGGGAAAAATGCATTTGAGGATAAATGAAAAACGTTGAATGGACGTAATAATCATCTGAAAAATTTTTACCGACCTCGTGAAGAATATCCCGGTTAACAAATTAAACACTTAACATGGTTTTAGATCATCCCTGTTGTTAAATGATTGCTTCTTTAAGTAACACTATGGGTCTGTTTTAAATCAAATAAATTGCTGTGGTCAAAAATCACCTTTCGGTTTTTTTTTTTTTGAAAACTTCTATTTTCTTTGAAATACACTCTAAAGAATAATATTGTTTCCGTAACATATTATCGTGTGTGATCCAGTTTTTCACACCTGTTAACAAACTTCAAAAGTTAGATCATTTTATTCATTTAACAGCGATTCACAATTAAAATTCATCCCAAAAATTGAGCTTCTTCTTGTAGTCGGTCTTATAGAAATGATTTAACACAATATTGTAAGTAATTTTTAAATTCTTCGTGATGTCGTGATTGTTTCCGTGACGGTCTTTCCGAATCAATAATTGTATAAAGTTTATTTTATAACCAAATTTCCAGAATAAAAGTAGGTTAATCATTTTATAGTAATTATAGTAAACATCAATCTTAATGAACTTTTAACCAATAAACTGCTAATCTATCATCTTTCAAGCAAAAAATAGGTTTATAGACTTAGCAGACATTTTCGAAGGCATTTTTACTATCATTATTTAAATTTAAAATGTTTACCGCCTTATTTCTACGAGGGTGGTTTGATACGTCTGTGACTTTTTGAATTTCCCGCGCAGGTACGCCAAATGCAACAGTGCTGCCGTCAGCTGTAATCTACCAGTGGGCAACTTTTTAATTTTGAGCAAGCTACGTCGTTTAGTTGGTGTTTGATAGCCGTCCCATGAATTTTTACGAAAATGGAAAAAAGTGAATTTCATGTGCTGATTAAGCATTACGATCCCAAATCCAGGAATTGGGATACGAACTGCTACCCCATTCAGCATATTCTCCAGATTTAGCCTCCTGCGACTATTTTCTGTTTCCAAACCTAAAGAAATGGCAGAGCGGTAAGAGATTTGATTTGAATGAAGAAGTCATTACCGAAACAAACGCGTATTTTGAGAGCTTTGAGAAAACCTAGTATTTGGAGTGAATAAAAAAATTAGAAAAACGCTGGACTAAATGTATCGAGCTATGATTATGTAGAAAAATAAAATGTTTATTTGCCGAAAAAAATTTGTTTTATTCAAAAAGTCACTGAATTATCAAACCGCCCTCGTATTATATTATATACGAGCTTTAATGTGCTGAGGAACTATTAAGGAATTATTATTTAACCCAAAAAAAATCTAATTAACGGGCTAAATTTTTGTTCTAGGGCATTAAGAAAAACATTAGAACACTAATGATTTTCTCAATCAATCAAATTTAAAACAATCCAACTAACAGTCGGTCATATGATAAGATACATTAGATACTTTTTTATCTTGAAATCCTTTTTTCCACTTTTGCCTATTTTGCTCATAGTACTAATATTTGTTTAATATACTAAGTAATTAGTTAATTATTATTAAAACAAACCAAAAATATATGAAACATAATGAAAAATAGATTATGTAGCGTGTTTGTTAGGTCGTTGCATACTCGTGTGTTTGAAGACACTTTTCAGCTTCCTACCTGCTGCATTATAGTTTTGTAATCTTTGTTTTTTATTGATCTTTTATTTATTTCGTTAACTGCTTCGGTATACAAAGGAATTTTATCAATGACGGCAAAAAGATTATTTATTTCAATTTTATTACACAATATTTAACATGTTGGTCAGTGAGATAGGCAATCGTGCTCGGGCTCATCGCATTAGCCCAGAGGGTTAAGGAAATAAACAAGAACATAAAGCATTTAATTAGTGCCCGGTTAGTACTTAAGAAATGATAGGCGCTGCTGATGAAAAACTTGTTCGTACATCGCCATCCAATGAGGATTCAAGTGCGAACACTTAAATCTTATCCGCATACCTGAATGAGAATCAGTTTTTGTGAAGAGGTGTTCTTGTGCGGACAGACGTTACGGGAAATACGTTTGTGAGTTAAAATTTCTAATATCAACAATATATAGCAAAAAAAAAATAAATATTTTTAAAAAGTGTTTTGTATAATTGACTATACAAAAATGATAAAATCTTACTCAATTGGAAGTCTCAAATGGAGACTTTTTCTTCTATTCCTTCCTTTAATGATTGTGACAAAAACAGAAATTTTGAGTCAAAAAATAATGAAACGACCTTTTGTCACGTTACATCAATGGACTAACTTAAAAATGTCATTTCCCAATGAAGAGACTCTAAAATTGGCACAAAAAAACGGACATTACAATAGTAACGTACCTTTACCTGTTGATGTGGATGTGGAATATGGAGGTAAGTCTGATAAGAAGTTGTTTTTAGAACTATAAAGCACTTGTTAAGAATAATAAAAAGATAAGTAAATACTTAAATAAAAAATATTTGTGAGTGAGATCTCATAATTTCTTTATAAATCTTTGAAATCCAAAAAATTTATGGAAAATCGTCGACAAACTGATCTATATGTTTTCTTACAAAATTACTTTAAAAAGAATTAAAATAAAATGTATATCTTTATTTTACAAAATTATTATTATTACAGCGATATTGTTCAGTTTAATAAATAACGTTTTCTCAAAAATTATAATCAAAACCGGGCTTTTATTATTTTATTTTAATTAAGCCTATTTCCTGTAAGAGTTACCAACGAGCTTAACCCTTTGTATGAGACCTGCTCCGATTTTGACGTAGTTTGTTATATTAGATAGAAAAGTGAAAATAAAAAATACACTTCCCTTTCCTTTTACTCATTTCTGTTTTTTAATACTTTTATTTAGGATTAAGGATTTGTTGTAGATATCCATCAGATATGCTTGGAAAGAAAATTATACTCTATATTTTTAGAATATAAATATTTTCAATGTTAATTGAAACAGGTCTTTATTACGAAAAGAAACTTTTTAAAAGTTAGACGAATTTGAATAGTAAAGAAAAGACAAGAACAAAAATTTGGTTAATTTATTGAAAGTTGGCTGACCATACAACGCTGTTTCGAATATTGCCCAAGTAGTATCACAACGGACCCATACATGAGTTGTTCAACTTGACTATCATAGCAACCTAACCTTACCTAATCTTTTACACAAAAGTCCTTTTTAAGACAAAGTTAAAAAATTATGAAGATTATGATAGTAATTACTTTCCTGGTACTTTGAAGCATAAGACGTATTTTAAGGACTGTCTGCCAGACGTTGAGTATTATTAAATTCCTTTATCTAAGGTACAACTATTTTGAAAAGTTAAACTTCATTACTGACGCCACACACATCTTAAGTGATTAAAATAATGAGTACTCCAATTAAAGACTTTCTACAAAACATTAAATAATTTAAGAAATCTTTCGATCACTGAATACGAATTTTACATTTTAATAGAATAAAAAGGATCAAATAAAAAACTCTATAGTCTTCTCTCCTCTATGGTCTTCTCTCATATATTAAACTCATATCATATATTAAAATTTAAAACTTCATTTTTACAGCACGTTTCCACTGTCGAAACTTAACTCTAGAAATAAATATATCATTTTTCATATAAAATCCAAACAAAATACACAAATATTTGATATGGAATATATCATAGAATAGAATATTTGATACTATTTTAAAGACTCACAAAATACTATATGCTACCATTGTTTTCTTCAATTATATTTTAATAACAAAGTTCTTTAATAGTTAAATAGAGTTATGTCTCCAGAATGAACTTATCCTTTAATGAAAATGTCAAAAATATTCTTACCACATATTCGAAGACTAAAATGCAACTTAAACCATTTACAAAATTCGGTCATAATTTCCAATGAATCTTATCTGTGAAAATTTGTAATACCAAAACTTAATTGACATCTATAGCGCCCTGCCCTAAGGAGTTAAGATTTACTTAAACTATATACAGCAAATCTATTGTAATACAATACTAAACGTTTGCTAATGCACCTATAAATCCGATGATATCAAGTAGTGATATTAAATTTTAACACCTCAGTTTCTCATAGAACATTTTATATTATTTTCTTATCAAATCTTTTTAATTTTTTATAATTGTATAATATATGCATTTAGTTTGTTTTTCTCCTCAGATGATGGCTATCATCGCACGTTTTTAACAATACCACGACTAAGCCACGGTATACCATATTCATTGGCCATCATCACAGAAAGCAACAACACAGTTTTGTTGAATCCCAGAGTAGAGCCATATCCAAACTATTATTGGCATTCGAGTCATGGCGCAAATTGCAATAACATAACATCTGCGATAAGGACCTTTGTAAGTTTTCTCGATTGAAACATTTTCTGCGGATCTTATAATAAAAATACAATTTCTTAAATTTTATTAGATTGATGATTGCTGGCGTTTATGGATCGTTGATTCCGGACAAATTAATTCATTTCAATATTGCGCACCGCAAATTTTAGCATTCGATTTGAGTAGTGATAAATTGGTTCATCGCTATATATTACCAGAATATCTATATACACCAGGTGTATCAGTTTTTACTGCATTGATTGTGGACATAAAAATGTCTAATTCTAAAAAAATGTGCGAAAAGCCTTTTATTTATGTAGCAGATCCTTGGGGCTACGGTTTAATAGTTTATGATGCCTTCGCTGGAAAATCGTGGCGGGTGGAACATGAATTAATGAAGCCGGACAAGAATTTACAAAAGTCCAATTCAGCAAATAATGGTATTTTTACTGTTAATATTAGTCCCGACGGGTTAAATAAAGGAAGTAAGCTAAAATTATGAATTTAACTGAAATGAAAAATACATTTAATATGATTCCAGAACGATTCTTATACTTCCATGCCTTAAACAGTTATAAGGAAATCGGTGTACCTTTACACGTCATTAATAACTCAACGAATTGGTTCAATAAACGCTATAATGGAACTAATGATTTTTTTGTGGTAGGAAATCGTGGCACTCAGTGCGAGTCGGAAACTATTGACAAAAACGGTAACCTTTACTGCAGTATTATTAATTCAAATGCACTGATCGGCTGGACACAAGAAAGTGTCTATAGTGCAGATACACTACAGGTTTTAGCGTACAGTCCAGAACAGTTTAAGTTTATCACCGGCCTCAAAATAAACAGAAATTCAGAAAATGAAGAGGAAATGTGGGCTTTGAGTAATGATCCAAAAGTTAGTTAAAAATTATTTATTTTAATTATATATATATATTTAGTCATGCTATATTTTTGTTTTTTTTTCAGCTTTTTGTTGGGAGACCTACTAAATCGGGTAGTACTAAATATCAAATTATTGGCTGTCGTATAGCTGATCTGTTAAATAAAAAACATTGTACCGTTGGAGCGAATACATAATAAACATTTACTTAGTTATAGGATAAATAACAAATGGCTTTAGCTTTAACTTTTAGATGTACATAAATTTTCTATATTGCCTATGTCCTGTCAGATTTTAATACTTACATTTCAAAATAAATTATACTTGCTTCAAGAAAACGCAATTCGCACATATCTATCTACGATGCGATTTCTTTATTCAAGTCTAGAAAATCTCCAGATAGCGACGAAACACTGACAAAATATTTTAAAGGGATTCCGGTAGTTCAGAATACTTAAGAGGGGAGTGAAATAAAATAGTAATCGGTTAAATAACAAACAAAAAAAGTTGATAAAAGAATTATATTTAGAAAGAATCCTCACTAATGTCAACCATCAATACTACACAAAATAATTCTGGGTTGAATAACTGAAACCTATCCTAAAGAACTGAGCAAACCGAGCAGATTTCCGCTTGGGATAATCGTTCCAAGCATATATAAACATTTTTCTTATCGTTATTAACCCAATTGAAAGAATTGAATTGAAAAATTTATTTTACTTTTGTCGATTTTAAAAAATTATCTGACGCTCTACAAAAACGCATTATACAAAACCTATTGGAAACTAAAGGTACCCTGAAAAAAATGTAAATATAGTAATTTTTAGAGTAGATAAGGCAACTTTCCAAGTGTTGAAAGATGGAGCACTGAGGGAGTCATTCATATTATCTAGTAGAGTTGTGTCACTACCTAACTAGTTTTTTTTAAGTACTCCTGTCTTGGTTTTCGATTCAATGGATAAAGAACACTTAGAAACAGATAGGGATTTTAAATACAAACTATGCCACCTTTACGCCGCTGATGATCTCATTTCTATGTGCAAACGAAAATAATTGCCCCACAATTAAGTAAGAGTCACACATTAACAATCAGAGCTATATAATCCATTTACTTCAAATGTAGAACCTCTGACTTGATACACAGAAGCAAATCTGAAGTTTCTGGATTAATATAGTACAGCATGGCACCAAACTCGGCCTATCTTATAGCACCTCCTGTCGCTCAAAGAAAAGATACTAGAACTGCTGTTGTGTCAATGTTCAAGCTTGTTTAGTACCAGGCTTAAGGTATTGAGTACTTTAGTCTTTAACGCTATACTCCATTCTCAGCGATATTTCCAGCATTAGCATTAGTCAGAAACTCGCATTTATCAATGATCCCGAGTGTTTCTACCATGATCACGTTTCTACCCACTATTATGAGGGATTGTGGAATCAAAACAGTTTTCTTAACTATTTGAGAAGGACTTTATCGAATGCCTATCAAAAGTTAAATCGAAAAATATAATGTATCTAATGTATTAGTAATAGGTCAGAAAAAATTATAACTAAGAGACAAAATACTTAAACTATAAAGTACCGTTAACTAACAGTCAATGAACCAATTAAAATTCCTGTTATACTACGAGGTCAATGCGGCTTATAGATTGAATCCAGCTGTAATGGTTGATATATTTAATTCTTAGGTATTTCATACTAAGTAAAATGTTTTGTATTTGTTTTATTTTAACTCATAATTTAGTTAAAAATGTATGTTTTTCGTAACAATAAATTAAGTTTCAATTACTAACCATCACAATAATACCTAAACCTTAAATATTTTAATTAGAATTAAGAGATATTAAGAATTAAGAATTATAATTAATTAAAATTAACGATAATTTCGAAGTCGAGTTTCTCATATATTAGAGAAAAAAAATTTAAATATCCGTCTAATTTGGATTCTGGCTGGTTCGATTTAAAAAAAGCTTTCATCGAACTATAAACACGTGGTGGATTTTAATTCCAAACATTTGGATCTTGTTTTAAAAAAAAAACATTTTATATTCACGAGTTCCACAAAAATGATTTACCTTTAGTTATACAAAAAAACAAATTCTATAAACAATTATAGAAAAAAATTTGAAAGAAATGACGAAATCCGAATGAAAAGCTGGAAAGATGTTGATTTACAAAGTCTCCCAGTTAAGTTTGGAGCATATAAATATATAATATAATTTTTGAAACAATCGCAAAAGTTGAACTGTTTGAAATTTGTGGAACTATAGATGCGGTTGGGATTGCTCCTTGCAGTTGTTATATACGCAAGATTTTTCACTTCTTTAGATTTCAGTTCGTCCTTTATTTTGTAGCTAAGTGTATACACTTTTGAAATAATTATATACAAACAGCTAAAAGTTCACTCCATAGAAGTGGCTGGATTTCTCCGTATTGTCCCTTCTCCTCTCACGCAACCATTATCCATCCACATCCTAACCCATGTATTGGACTTGTAATTCATTCTATGTTATCTACTAGCAGTTTACTAGTTGTTGTAACCAATAGTTAAAAGTAGTAAACCAGATATATATTACACATTAAAAGAAAACCTAGGAAAATAATGATTGGGATAAAGTCCACAACAAACCAAAAATTCTAATAAAAAATAAAAACGCATAATTTTGGGTCATTATTGGAAGAAGCTACTTTAGCGAAATGTGTATTCTGTAAAATTGAGAGAATTTTTCCAGTCCTCATTATTGTGGTAATGACCTATGCAGTAGATAGATAGCAGTAATAGTCTCGTTCGCTGATATCAATGAAGGAAAATAATAATCAAATTTACTCAAGAAAAATTAATTTAGAAAGTTTAAAAATATAAAAAATCTAGATTGCAATCTTCACTTTTCATAACAATCGCTGATATGATGTTGAAGACGGTTGTGCAATTAAAAAATTAATTTCAAACAAATTAAACCAATAAAAGGCACAATAAGGGGACATAATCCTTGTCTTTATAAAGATTAGAAGAGCATCTTAAGTTTGAGTATTTGTAAATAAATAAAACCATAGAACGTACGTAGTATGATAAAGATACCTTCTGATCTCATTTGAAATGATAGAAAAAAAGACATATCCCCGATACATCATTTTCACAAAACGTTTAAGTGTATTCTAGTTATAAGAAGAAGCATAACTAATATAACGGAAGTACTTACAGATTTTTAAATAAAACCTCGTATAAAATAGTAACCCTTAGAGAATAGAACCCTAATTATGTTACATTCTGCAATCAAAATACGAAATCATTGCAGTTTTCGTTAAAGATATGAAGCATTTGAAGTATTATAAGTAAACATCTTTCTCAAGTCATGAATTAAAAATAGGTAGTGAAACAATTTCTTTCTAAATACTTTTGAAGAAAGATACCATTAATATGAAGAAGAAGAACAAAAATATTAATATGAAGAAGGTTACCAAAAACAATGCCAACAAAATAATAATTACTAAATATAAGTACCATGTGGTTTAAACATTTCTATAGAAGACAACATTGTTTGGTGCTGCTTACATGACACAAACCCAATAGGCACCTATGCTAACTCTAAACGTTCAGTCTTTAGCCACCATTTGCAAAGAGAAAGAAAAAAGGAGTAGCAAGTGAACATATGCTGTACAAATCCCGGGTACTGACAAGATAACTATATTTCACTGTGGATGTCAACAAACTAATAAGCCCGATTGACTTTTCAAATATATTATAAACAAAATCCTATCATCTGAAACGAAAGTTTGCTTTGAGAATGTGACTTCACACCTCTGTACGACGGTGTGGGTTCCAAGAACGGCCGGGTCTACGTCTCGGAGCCATTCGACGACCAAGTGCCGTTCAATACCTCCCGAAGGAACAACAACGGTGTGATAACGAAATATACTTGTGCACTAATTGTACAGAAGAGCAAGATCTACAACTAGTATATCAATTAGCCAATTTAGTTTTTAGCACTACGTGAGCCGTTTTACATATCTGTACCAAACACTTTTTACGAAGTCTTGAACGAAGACAACGTCTAAAAAAAACAAATTCTTTAGTTCATTCAATTCACACACGAGTATCAGTAACGCGCTGCAAGAAGCATTTCAAATATATTCTGTAGAAAAATAAAAACAATTAATAAAATTTATAAATGAAGTGAAAAAACATGTACCGGTCTCAGAATAAAGCGCTAAATCCCTTTTTTTAGATAATTATACGATGTTATGATGTTGTTAAAATATTTTGTTATGTGCAGAAATATATCACGTCGCAGCCATATCTATTTCTACAGTGTGGACTCGTATTTAACATTCCAAGTTCAAATAAACAATGACAAACTTTTCGAAGACTGTTGTTCACAAATCACTACAAAAATTTAAACTAAATAAAAAAACGTGCATAACCTCCACGGAAGAAACAGCCGGACATTCCACATATTTATATACATTTTACACACATAATATATTGTTTTGCAACTTTCGCGTGTTTTTTTCAAATTTCAAAAAAAAACTTAATTTATGTAGTTTTTTAGTAAAATGTTTACCATTTTATTCACTTCAATTCTTTTTTTTTTTATTAAAAAACACGAACTACTATTTTAAATATCCTTTTTCACAACTGTTGTCTTCTCAGAAACGTATAGACCATCCAAGAACTTACGGATATCTTTGTTTTTAACTGTGGTCGATTGCTGAATTAAAGCAGCTGATCCAGAAACGGCTTCAATGTCGTTGCCTTCCACAATAAGTTCGTCCTTTTGCGCTGTTGAATTGACAACAGTTACACCAGGTGCCATCTGTACTCGGCGAATATATTTTTCACCTAAGAAATTACGGATTTCAATAACCGAATTATTTTCAGATGTGACACAATTGATGGGGAAATGAGCATATACGGCACGCATTTTGTATTGGAAGCCAACAGTAACACCTGAAAAATCAAAACATAATATAATAAACAAACATATTAATACAAAGATTTTTATTTAACATTTACCTTTAATCATGTTTTCAATGTGACTGCACACAGTGCGTACGGCGGCCAACTCTTTCTTCGCACCAAACCACTTTTCAACCTTCAGCGTGCTCCTATTGACCATGTACATATCCAAAGCCAAGTGCTTGAAGCTGCGTTTCAGTGTGCCTCTTGGACCAGTGATTGTGACAACACGGGCCTTCACAGAGCCTTTAATATCCTTAGGGATTTTAACGCATTGATTTGAGTTGATTGTCCTCATTCTGACACTGCAACAACAAAATTCAAAACAATGTATTAGTGACAGTGCAACCACTTCCAATACACAATTCAAACAATATCACAATATTTTTAATTTCAAATAAGAACTTTACAAATAAACCCGAAAAGTAAAATTAACACATTAATTCGTAAAATATAATTAGTTCAAATAGCAGTTAATTCAGTTTGTCCCGTTTCCCTCCGAAATTTTGTGTACGAAAACAAAATTCAACTAAATAATAATTAAACAATTTTAGGCTTCCACTAAATCTAAAGTAAAAATAAAGTTTTTAACACATCAACAAAATTATTTAATTGCAAAAACGACACTTTTTTATTTTATACATTATATAAAATATTATGATTGTTTAAAATTATTTTTTCCCAAAAAATTTACACGAACTCACACGCTTAGAACCGACCGGAAAAAGGTTGAATTGGAAAAGGAATATTTTGACGTCTCTTATGGCGATAAAACCAAATTTTGACATTTTATCGTTTATTTTTGACGTTTTGCTTTGACGCAGACTGTCAACTTTCGTTAACAATATACATGGAAAGAAAGTAATACGCTTATTAGATGAAATGTTCGTAAAACTATGTAATATAAAATATAACATTTTCGCGTATTATGACGTGATAACACATATATGTATATGGAATTTTCGTATACGTTTTTATAATCACTTTTTATCAATTTTTATTATTTATTTTATATAAATAAAATGATATGACTACAAGAGTATTAGAGTTAAGCAACACAATTTTCTATTGTGACGTAAGAAATAGAATCAAAAGTGTTTTAAATAAATATAAAGCTGATTTCGAGCTTTAAATTTAGTAGGACACTAGTTCGATTCCTGGTACTTATATATATATATTTAATTCTTTAGCTCCTAGGAGAAGCATAGGGTCGTAGATTTCTGGTACTTGCAGTCTCAAAAAAAATTATTTACGAATAATTAAATACAAGAATTATTTTCAAGACCACTGATGATGGGTATTTGACAATACTCGAAACAGCTGTGTGGTCAACCAAAAATTCAATTAATTAAAATAATATAAAATTAATTTTTGTTGCTGTAGTTCAGTACTGTTCGAAAAACCTGTTTATAAAAATAATTTTCCTAACTCAATAATCCATAAAATATTGGAAGGAAAAACAAATCAACAAATTAATCAAGATGTTTTTATTCTTATTGATCGATTTATTTTAATGAGTTAAATTTTTTTAAATTTTTTTTATTTAATTTTTAGTTTTAATCGCAATTTTAACATAATATGATAATGAGTTATCTGTAAAGAAATATGTAAATAATATTGTTCTGACGTGTATTAATTAATTAACAATTATTATTTTTTGGCCTTTTATTTTGTTAAATTAATAAATACAATTTACATATAATGTTTTTTATCAATAAATTTTACAAATAAATTTTGCTGTCGTAGAAAAATAGAAATTAAAAATATTTACATACCTGTCTGTCCGTCCTTATGAATGGTTTATTAATTAAGATACATATGCAAGGAATATGAAAATGCTTGGTGTAAATTTTTGGAAACGAAGTACATATACATAATATATATACATACGATCACATTTGTGAAGTTCATTTTTAATTTGTGCCTTTGAAACTTGATATCGAGAGAACCAAATTATTTGTGTGAATAGTGTGGTGGAAATAGTTGCTCAGGATAGCTGATCTTATCAGAATAAATACCTCAAAAAATATGTTAGTATAATATTTAGAATTTTCTCACCTTGGGAAATATTTGGATAATCGTGCCGGTCAAAGATTTTAAGTTGAACATTATACAAAAGCAAATAAGCTTAATTATCCCATATTATTAAATGTAACTGTCAATATTTCAAAATATAAAAGAAGATAATAATATATGTATTTATATGAACACATACATTTAAATATATATAAAAAACGAAAAATTAAATTTTTGAACACAAATTTCGAAAATCGAAAAACTAGAGCCAAAAACGTTTTTTATTTAATTCGTAAATTCGTAATTTCCAAAAAAATATGAATATAAACCACTTTAATCATGACAAAAACATATTTATTAAACAAATATATACAAAATGTTGATTCGAAACTAAACCAAAATTAATTCAATTTTTTTTTTTAATCGAAGACTGCAATTGAGCCGATAAATTTTTTTTTTTGGATGCTCACAATTAAGTTTAAATAAATTTACATCGTCGTTTATAATCAGTCGGATATTAAATGAACAGAGAAAGTTAAGCTGATAAATCCCCCCTCGACAATATAGTCTGAAGTCAATAAAAAATCAAAGAAGATAAAGAAAAGAAACTGAGAGTTGCTCGAAAAATTATGTATAAAATTTTTTGGATAATTCAAATAATATTCAAAATTTTGAGTAATGAAAGGAAAATATCACGCCGTACGAAAACAAAAAGCCTAATGCTACACAATGGTGATGACAATGGTGATAATGATGATTTTCTTCACCCAATCTTGCTATTTTGTCCACCCGGTCCCTACTCACCACGATGTTTACTAAAATAAGAGCATTTTCCGAAATTTCGTTGTTTGATTTGGTTTCTTAACGTTACAAATCCGTTAAGAGATTTTTTTGTGATATTACACAAAGAGACACAATGATTCAAAATTTCCTCTGTTTCTTTTCTTTGTCTTCTTTGGTAAAAACTATACAATTCTAATATATTTTATGTATATATAAATATTTTATATATATATTTTATGTTCCTATTATAGTACTTTTATTAACTAGAAGTTTTGATTGTGAAACAATGGATTGCTTTATCAATAGGCATTTTCGGTGGCTCGCAAGAATAGTAAAAAACTGGCTAATACGAGCCACCGAAAACGCCCAACATTAAAAAACATCATATCTATCTATGGAAAAAAATTGTACGCTTTTATTGGTAAGAAAATTTACAATTATGTGATATGTAAAAAATATTTTCAAGTATATTTCTTCCTTGACACAATTCTGGCTTCGCCACTGCATAGTCTAATAATAAAATGTTCTAAAATGCTAGTTAAAATATACTATAGCATCTAATAGCTCTTATATACGTGGAAAATCCATTAATGTGCATATATTCGAATAATAGAAACAACTATTTAAACTTATTTAAGTCTATGATAAGTCTTTAGTTATATCGGTGGTCTTTACTTTTTCTATTAGCAATTAATTGAACATGTACTGATTTGCGAATGTTGGGTAGCAATTTGCACTTGACCAAGAACACTATTCTTTTGTCCATTTTATATATGCTGACTGTTTTTTAATTTTTATTATAGATGAGTGATGGGCTAAATAGTTAGATTTTTTGGTTTGGTTTTTTTAATAAAATTTTTTTTTTGTTTTATTTATTTAATCTGTATTTCGGACGTTTCGATTGTTTAAGACCATCACCAGGGATAATTTTTTTAAAAACAACTGAATAAAATAAAATTTGTATATAATGTATATGTATGTATTTTTTGTATTGGATAGGCGGAAATACTATCGATATGAAATTATTATAAGAGGATTCTGACAAGTTGTTATCGATAATTTGCTAGTTGCACGTTTGTTTTGTTTTGTTCGGCAGTTTGAAATTAGTGGAATCACACTGAGTTGAAGCAAATAAAAGTGATGGATATGGATCCTGACAAATACTTTGCAGATTATGAAGACTTAGCGGTATGTTTTGACTGGCAAATTTTTACAAAACAGTAGAGAATTTTAATTGTAAATTCAACTAAAAAACATTTTTCTGTCAATTGGAAGTGCTTAGCGTAGTACTCAATAGTTTTTAAATAAGAATAAAACATTTTCATTTATGCAAAGACTTATTGTTATGAAAACTAATACATATATTTAAAATTATAAAACAAAAGTATATTAACATATAAATTTATTTTTCCAATAAATTTAAACTGTCAACGTATCGCGGACTGTTTGCCCGCAATTTCCAAAAAATAAATATATAGATAAATACATAATTTTTATTTTCGTTTTACAATTTTAAACATATATAATAATTTATATTAACAATAAGCTTTTGAATAAAAAAAAATTATTAAAGAATTGCTTTTTAGTATTTGAATATTTATTTATGTTTATATAAAATGGCATTAGGAATGTAAGATATTAGTTCCAAATGCATACAAAAATAATTTCCAATTGTTACTAGATATATAACAATTATATACATATTTCCATGCTTCAAATCAGCTAATTGATTGTACTCTTGTTGTTTCAGGTACATGAGTTAATGCTTAAAGATCGTCCACGCCAGGAGGCATACTATCAGGCAATAATGAGTAACAGTACGATGTTCAAAGATAAAGTAGTACTTGATGTAGGCGCAGGTACTGGTATATTATCAGCGTTTTGCGCTAAGGCAGGTGCACGTTTAGTTTATGCAGTGGAAGCAACAAATTTGGCCAAGATTGCTCTACAAGTTATTGAAGAAAATGCTTTGACCAGCATAGTCAAGGTGAAAAATGTTTTAATTTTAAATAAACTTTAAATTTAAATTATATTATTCAAAACAGGTTTGTGAATCCAAAATAGAGGAATTTCAATTGCCTGAAACAGAGGAAAAAGTCGATATTATTGTTTCGGAATGGATGGGATTTTATTTGCTGCACGAAGGCATGTTGGATTCAGTACTTTATGCACGGGATCATTTTTTAAAACCCTCTGGTAAAATGTTTCCAAACGAAACTATCTTATATGTGGCACCTTGTCAAGTACCGAGTCGTTATGATGATTGGGTCAATGTTAATGGCATTAGCATGACAAAGTTTGCTGCGCATTTGCGAGAACAAAAATCAAAGAAACCAGAAGTCGCGAACGTACAACCAACAGATCTGCTGCATGAGGGTACTGTGATGCATTGGATGAATTTGGAAGAGGTTAAAATTGACGAATTAAGTAGTGTAATTATGAAAGAAGTCATAACGGTACAACGCTCTGGAAAATTTCAAGGTTTTTGTATTTGGTTCGATTGTCGATTTCCCGCACAAAGCTATGAGGATGCAGTTATTTTGTCAACTGGACCGCGGGCACCGCTAACGCATTGGAAACAATGCATTGTTGTTTTGCCTACAAAAGTGTGTGAAGAAGTGGAAGAAAATCAACCGATAGCATTTGAAATGAAGATGCTTCGTAAACAAGATAATCCAAGATTTTATGATCTTGAGGTTGAGCTTTTTGATCCTGATGATGTAGAACATCCAACGCCTTGTGATTGCTTTTTAACAAAATGTATACTATTGAAAACCCATTTGCAAACAATGGACACATCTTAACCATAATTTTAAAATAATAAACTTTATAAATATTTAATTTGTATATATATTTAGACATTTTAACAATTTTTTAATAATTTAAAGGCTACGTTGAAGTCGACATTGTATTTGTTTCAGTGCTTGTTGCATGCTTTCGGTACTAGGCTTCTGGTAACATAAATTGAGACAAGAGGAAATAATATCAAGCGCTTTTCCAATTATACGGCGTCTGCAAAATAAATTTAATATTAATTTAGAATAGTTATGAGTTCACTATTTTTATACATTTTTGTTTTTAAAGATAAGTCTTTTTTTAAAAACAAAAACTCTTTAACATTAATTGCTGATGCTAATACCTGCTACTGTACTTACTTTGAACGACACCACAGTGTTTCCACAGTATCGGCCAACGTTCTGGTTAAAAGTATGCAAGATTCCACTAAATGCCATTCGTTACCCTCTTGTGTCCAAGTGCGCTCGTTCATTATTATCATTCTATAAGACGGCGAAAAGTGTGAATAATTTTTTTTTGAAATCAAACTTTTTTTTTTCTTTTTACCTGTAATAATATTCCAACATAATTTCAATGTCAATATCCATTGCCAACAGTTTTTCTGGGACTATGGCTTCCGGCATATTGTATACGCATGCGGTTTTTTCTAATTCGTGGATGATGAATGCAAGCGGAAAACAATTGCCCGATTGACTAAATTCTTTAACAAGTGTCTCGATTTTTGTGAACAATCGCGTGACGCGTTCTGTTGAGGTACTGCAACCTTGTATGGTATTGCTGATAATCTTTTGCCATACGGACTCTATTAACAATGTATCGTTGTGGTGTGAGCAATTGAGTATGGTGAGCTTGCACTCCCACAGCTCAAATGGTTCTGCAAATTGTTGATAGAGATCAGTTATGTCAAAAAGTTTATTATTCAGATCTTGAATAGCTCTGTCAGTTACGGTGGTTTGAGGTGTAATTGCAGAAATAGAATTAAGAATGAATTTTTGTACTCGTGCTATGTCCATCTAAAAATTAATTTAAAACAAAATGATATAAAAAAATATTCTACATAAATTAAAATTAATTAAAAATAAATTAAGTTTCACAAAATGGTTTCAATAATTTTAAGAAAATTTAAAAATAAAAATTATATTTCGAACACAGTCTACTTTACAATGATAATATTTATATTTACCCTATCCTCTACGTCTTTCAACAGCAAACCGTTCTGCATTGAGTATCCTATAGTGTCATTTCGCATACACATGACAGCACGTGCCAGATATTCAATTCTTTTATCTAGAGGTATAGCATCAGTTTCCATGGATGCCAAATTGTCCAGAATTTTTGCCGCCTGGGCATGATGTTTATTCTTTTCATAGTATTTCCATAATAAATCGATTACTTTATAGTTATCAGGAAAACGCAATACATTCCGTCGTAAGTAGTCTCCTAAAGATGGTTCCATTAGTGATAATAACACTGATGTCAAGTCATGAGACATAAGCCATTCATAGATTGTGATATGTAATAGCGGATCTTTTATATGTATCGATTGATTTACAATCTTTGAAATTTCGTCAGTTATTAGTGTGCCATCTTCTTTTTCTTCTATACCTTTAAAGGTGCCACCTTGATCTTCATAAAGTTTTTCCAACATTTCACGTACTTCTTTGTAGCAATTTATTCTTAAAATATATGTTTATAATCATTAGCTATATATCTAATATTAAAAATGGTTATAAATTTCTGAAATCTAACAATACTATTATTTTAAAAGATTTAACTTTAAGTTTATATAGAGATTTTCTACAGAAATTCACAAATCCAACGGAAATGTAGTTTTCAACTATTCTACTTTGTTCAACATTTAGTATTGTCATTTTAATAATTATTTTCTTTTCATTGTCTAAAGTACACATTTAAGGTGAGTTGAGTACTGACTCTATGACTGCACTTTGAGGGGATTACTTTGTAGTCGATATCAACTGTTATATGTTTGTCTGCATTAATTAATGTTAATTTTATAGTTTTCTGAGAAGTCAATGTAATATGAAATTTTTATTTAATTTGCACAATTAACACATTAAAAGAAAAAATATGATTTAAAACAATATAGAGCTAACAATATAAAGCTAGTGTTTTTAGCTCGTAGTCATTATCTGACTTTACCCTTAATCCTCTCCATTGAATTTTGGTGTTGAATTTTTATTACCTCGAAATACATAATATTAATGTTTTTTGTTGAGTTTGTATTTCCTTGATATTTAAAAATATTATCAAGATCTGTTTATAATTATAACAGTTTCAATAACTGATTAATTTGCTTTAGTTAATGATAGCTTACATATGAGGTTGAGAATTTTTGAATGGATGTATTTCGGATTATTATTCAATCTATTCTTAAACAAACACATAGGATAATAATAAAAAAAAAATTGTTTTACCTTTTTGCAAAATACGTATAACCCTCATTATCATCAGCTGGTTCATCATTCTTATAAAAATGTATACCATATTCTTCAGGATCACATTTTGTGGCACAGGTGAATGATAGATCGATAACTCCATCAAAAAATCTCGCTGAAACAAACTTAAAAAAAAAAATAAATAAAAAAAATTAATATTTTTTCGTAGTAAAAACTTAAATTATACACATTTATATTGAAAAGATAAGTTGGTAATAAAAAAATAATTGATAATAATAAATAATAATAATAATTAAATAAAATAATAATAAAAAATAATAATAAAATATAATAAAAAATAGTAATAATAAAATATAATAAAAAACAGTAATAATAAAAAATAATAACAATAATAAAAAAAAATAATAATGAGTAATAATAATAGTAATAATAATAAAAAATAATAATAGGAATAGATAATAATAATAAAAAATAAAAAAAAAATAATAATAGTAATAAATAATAATAATAAAAAATAATAATAGTAATAGATAATAATAATAAAAAATAAAAAAAAAATAATAATAGTAATAAAGAATAATAATAAATAATAATAATAAATAATAATAATAATTGGAAATAATAATAATAATTGGAAATAATAATAATAAAATATAATAATAATAATATGTAATAATAATAATATATAATAATATTAAAATATAATAATAAAATATAAAAATAATGAAATATAATAATAATAAAATATAATAATAATAAAATACAATAATAATATTAATATAATAATAATAAAATATAATAATAATAAAATATAATACTAATATAATATAATAATAATAAAATATAATAATAATAAAATATAATAATAATAAAATATAATAATAATAAAATATAATAATAATGAAATATAATAATAATAAAATATAATAATAATAAAATATAATAATAATAAAAAAAAAATATTAAAAAAAATAATAAAAAAAAAAAATAATAATAAAAAAAAAAATAATAATAAAAAAAAAATAATAATAAAAAAAAAATAATAATAATAAAAAATAATAATAATAAAAAATAATAATAATAAAAAATTATAATAATAAAAAATTATAATAATAAAAAATTATAATAATAAAAAATTATAATAATAAAAAATTATAATAATAAAAAATAAAAAAAAACGAATAAAAAGAAAACGAATAAAAAGAAAACGAATAAAAAGAAAACAAATAAAAAGTAAATAAAACTAATAAAAAATAAATAAAACTAATTAAAAACAAATAAAACATTTAACAAAACAAATAAAACCTTAAAAAAAAAATAAAACTAATAAAAAAGAAATAAAACAAATTTCAAAAAATTAAATTTATATAAAAAAAATAATAAATAAAAAATAAAACAAGTATAAAAAAATTAAACAAATAAAAAGAAAAACAAAAAAATAAAACAAATAAAAAGTAAATAAAACTAATAAAATAATAAAACAAATAAAAAAAAATAAAACAAACAAAAAAAAACAAGAAAGTAACAAAAATAAATTTCACATTAACGATATATCTGACAGTTTAACAAAAACCTCTATTATAAATCGGAAGAATCGGCGAATTCAATTTCTTTTCTTCATAATTGATATAAAAATTTTTAACTTTCAAAATAATATTGTTAACTTTTTTTAAGTATAATATAAAAAACTTTAATGAAAATGTGATCTGAACTGTTATACGGTTTGCATTATTCTGTATATTAGAAAACTGTACTATAACGAAGACTACTATACAATTCCTATGAATAATTCTTAACTTTTTGTTTTTAAACCAAAAATTATTGGAATTAACAATATAATTATTTTTCTTGCTTACAATATAATTTTTAATAATAGTTTTTTTATTAAATAATAAACTGTCGGATTCGATCACATTCCCCAACACCAACAAACTTTAATTGTTTCTACTTTGCCAACCGAATTAAGCAAAAAAAAAAAAAAGGAAAACTGTTTGATGTGTAAAAAATGCAGAAAAGAAAGAGATTAAGAGAAAACAACAACAAAACGTATAAATATGAAAAATATCACACATGCTTAAAAATTCATAAAGCAATTGCTACATATTATATTTAAATTATTAAATCTGAAACTTCATTTAATATAATTCATTCACTTTTAATGAATTTCTTTCTATTAATTAAATTCATTTTCCAAAACACGCGGAAAACATTTTAGAAAGGAAAAAAATTCACTGAAGCTACATCTTGAAAAACTTAGCTATTAAATCATAAATTTTTGTTTTTTCATCAAACCTCACCTTAGTAGCAAGCTCTTCTTCTTATAATAGTAATATATTATTATCTTCTTTTAAATTCTTTTAAATGCTATAATTCTTTAAAAATCTTGTATTAACTTAAATTGACTTGCAACAATGTCCGCACAAATAACAAATGAATATGACAGCAAGCATTAAAAAATGTTCAAAAGAAATTTAACATAATATATATCCATCCCATTCTGACATATATAGCACATGCTGAGCATTTTTGCAAACGATTTGCATTTCTGTCGCTTTATAAGAATTTTATGCAATTGCGCCAAAACCAATAGAACGAAAAAATAAAATATACAATTTTAAAACAAAATAATTAAACAATTTTAAAAAGCGTTTGTCTATAATTGACCTGCACATTAAAATTATTGAAAAAATTTTTTAAAACAAATATTTATTATGACAATATATGTAAAAATTGTTTCGCAAATCTTTTTTTAGCACCCGGCGTCCTTCGAATCACGAAGTTTTTAAGATTCTTTAAATACTTTTTATATATTTAATTTAAATTTAAACTTACCGTTTTTTATTGAAGTTTATTAATTATGTGTTAAATATTAAAATTGTTATATTCAGTCTTAAAATATCACTTGGTTATTCAAAACTTTAAACGCAAGATATTACCGACTCACGCCGAAACACTCTTCACTCGTTCCGAATCAAGCAACAAACTGCGAGCAACATACTACTTTCTGTGATGTGTGAGTTTTAGCACAAAAGTAAAATTTAAATGACAGTAGTGAACAGAGTTGCCAGTTGTAATTATATAATAAATTACTAATATGTACTTGAATAATATTCCATATACCATATATATGCGAAAATCAAATCGTTTCATTTCTTTTAAAAAATATACTTCATGCAAATTATTGTAAGAGCATGCAAATGATTTCAAGGTCAATTTGTTTTATATTTGGAGCACTTTCATATTTTTTAAAAGAAAAGTAAACATTTTGTTATTAAAATACAATAATAATAGTCATAACATAATACATTATTTTAATGTCGACAAAAACTATGCTTAAAAATTATTTTACTCATTCGCGTTATTGACCTGTACATATCCATTTAGTTTTTCATAAACTTAGCTGAAATCTTACAATATTATTACAATCTAATCGGTATGATAGTATTTTTTTATGATATATTCTTATTAGATTAAAAAAGGTTTCCTAAAACAATTATAAAGTTTAAGCATTTTAATTTGATATACATTTGTCACTATTAGATAGATTTACATTTTATATTCAACGACTTTGAATTCATAATTTATTTGCTTACGAATTATACAAAACAGAACAAGAATATCATTGTTTTAGTTCTTAAAGAAGCTACACATCATCAAAATTATAAAAGATTGAAAATATGTATACTAATACAGTATGTTTACACCAAAAAACAGCAAACAAATATGTTTTAACAATACTTGATACCTAAAAGTGTAAGCATACAATCTAAATATACAAATCCTAAATATTATATTACAACCCTAAAAACAGAATTTTTACTCGTAAACACTCTTAAAATAATTTTATACAAAAATGTTTTTAACAACAATTTTAGTAAAAACGCCGCTTTTAAGCATTGCGTAAAAACTTTAAAAGTACTTGTAAGCTTTGAACTCGAGCTATCAGTTGACAGCAGCTTTAAACGTCCTTAAAATTTATTTTAATATGTCTCAAGATTTTAAGCCAAAAAAACAGTTTCATAGTATTAATAACAATTCCATGCAATATAATTTATATGCTTAGTTTCATTTACATTATTCTGCATAAGAGTTCTAACATATTACTTACCTGTTAAAATATTATTAATTCTACTTTCAATATCTTCATATGTAGTTATGGTGACAAGTTAACTTTGATATGCACAATATTTAATTTTATACCGCCTTAATTTTATATTTCCTACGTTGAGTTATCTTGTACTAAAATATGATATATTCAGAGAATAAAAGTAAATAGAAACACTTGCGAAAAAAACGAAGATAAACATTAATAAATCAAACATTAAAGAAAAACGCAAACATATTTTGCCTGTTGCTTTTTTGCGTTTCTTACCGGCTATCAAATTTTTGTAGTACCTTTCATGTTTGTACTAAATAATGAAAATAAGGGTTACCAAATTGTTTAAAATTTTTAGAACAATTTTAAATTTCAAAGCTGACGAAAAATTGCGTTCAATATTTCAATTATTTTTATGATTTCTTATATCATATATACATAATATATGATATAAATGTAGAATTCATAAAAAATATCTGATAAATTGTATGGTACTCGTATTTAATTATCACATATTGTCAACTTTTGCCAACATGTGCCTAGTGTTGTACTATGTGGCATTTTAAATTATGCATTTATTATATATTCTTTGTAATATATTAATAACATATGTAGCATACATTTAGTTTTAGTATTGCATGTGCACGTATATTTTCGATATATGTATATGCAGTATATTAAATTAACTGTATACGATCTGATGCTATATCGTATACATGCTATATCGTTGTAAAACTCAAGTAAAGTATAAACTGAGAGCATAACACAAATAAAGAACCAAATTACTCTCTTTACACAGATTTTCGTTTAACAGCTTTGGGTAAAGACTGGTAAGAAGACTAGTGCCGCGCATATAATTAATACAAAAATTTAAATTCAAATTTTAAACACAAATTTTCTTGATATAAATTGTACGAGTAAAGTCTGTGTGGCATTTTCAAATTTCAATAGCGATGTTACGCTCTTTCAGATGCTCTCATTTACTCGAAAATTTGCTGGTGGAACTCGCTTGTGTATACACAGTGTTACTCAAAGTTACTACGAGTAGCTCGTGGAACAGACCTAATATTAATTAGATTCATTTTATATGTACTTACCAAAAACATTTTTTATTATATAATATTCAAGTGAATAATATCTTTTCTTTTCTAATATATTTCTTTATCAATATATTCAACGAATTTGGTACTCAGTATATTGCAAGGCCATAAATGCGTATATATTTAATTTCATTTTATCAAATACTTTCCCAACGAACACAATTGTCAGTATTTTTGTAAATAGTTGTATGTAAATAGTTGAATGTTCCATGAAAGCATCTAAACATGAAAAAAAATTATAACGCAGATTTAATTACAAAACGATGGGGATTTCTACCATGAAATATAAACCACGTCTACAAAAATTAATAACACTTAATAGTTAATACCTGATTTTCATATCTACAAACATATTAATACTTTAACATCTGTTGATATTCAATTATCCACACTAGCAATAATATCGATAGCAGATTTGCCGGCGAATTCAAAAGTCCACTTTAGAAACAATTCCAAAGACGTATAGGTATTTCTAATGCAATTCCAAAATTTCAAGAACGTGTTGACTAGTTTGATGAACGTTCATTGCTGGAAACCCTCATACCATCAGGTAAATTATAATTAGCGTTTCTTATTTATTTATAGGAGGGCTTGTTCACGTTTAATTGTTTCCGCTAACTATATTATTGACGTACGATAGTACAGTTATGAGAAGCAACAAATCCTAAAGCATATGGATAAAGTTTAGCTAAAATAAAGTTTATATTGATTATATTTGGCCGAGAACGCATGTCCACTTAAAATCGATACTGTCCAGGATCGAAATAGCATAACAGCTCTAAAAAAAATTAAATTATTTCGGTTAAAACTATTTTGTACTAGATACAAAATTAATCACAAATGGATTTGCAAAGGTATATATATATTACATTTGCCTATAACATCAGATGTTTATCTCTGAAAAAAAAAATATGGTAATATTAACATTTAGTTTGGGAAGTTAATATTCACAGTTTATTATTTATAGGGCGTGTCAACGTTCATCAGCTGCTATATCATTCTTTAAAGATGTATGGTGCATTTGATCAACTCACTTAGATCCTACCTGTATATTGTAATATCTGCAAGGTTTGAAGTATGTGGAACGCATATACATATGTATAACAGCTGTAAAATAACTATTTGTATTCTGGGTCCAGAACTGTATGGGTAACAATTGGTTTAGAATACATACATATACCTAGCAATTTTGTGTCTTTTGGATTGCAATAGAACGTTTGTTGAATGAGCCTACATATATGTATTAAGTTTTTCGTAGGATCTACGTAGACTGTGTTTTAAGTCTTGCGCCTGTGCAACATTAAGTATTGCCAGATAAATTTTGACATTTCTGTTCAAAAATTTGACTCACTTATTGTGTTTACATCGATTCTAAACTGTCTTTACGAAAAAATAGAATTATATAATGAACATTTTTGTGCGATGATTTTTTACGATTTATGACGCGGATTAACCAGAAAATAATGCATCGATAAAACAAACTTAGTCAAACTCTAGTTTGACATTTGGTGATGAAACAACACACCCAGCGACTGCAAATCGCTGGTTTCATAAATTCGAGCGTGGTCGTCGTTTTCTCTACGAGGATTTTCGTAAAGGTCTTCATAAAGAATGGCTGTTGTAATA